TTCACTTATTCCTTTACATTCAAGAATTATATAAAATTGTTGTATTAGGGAATCTTCCCTTAGATTCACTAAACATACCAATTAACTCTTCACTATCTATATTGTGAAACCTTGCACTAGCTGTTTCCTGCTTAAGTGTCTCTGTAATGAAAAAGGAGAAGTACCTTTTACATTGTCTAATCAATACATCTTTTACTGAATTAAGACAAGCTGAAGTCATGTTAATAACCTGGTCATCAATGCAGCATTAATATGTTATTGGTTCAAAAACGTTTGAGGGAAGCATTTCCCCCCAAAAATCTGTTGCTCTGCAAAACAGTGCAGCCGGATTAGATTTGCAAACATTAACTGTTTCCAAAATGTTTTTTAGAATCTGAATACCGGTGAGATGATCAAAATTTGCATCCTCAGCTGATACATAAAACTTAGTCATCCACGGACCACTTAGCAGTTTCCCAAATACACCAAGCACACACATTTTTTTTAAAGTGGTAGCATTACAAAATGCTACTCGCAGAGCTGCTTGCAAACTGCCACATTTGACTGTTCTAGTGATCAGAAAATTTAGAAAATTAGCATAGTGTTTAATAAATATATGACAAGTATTAAAAAGAAAATATGAAGACGGTTTCCTCGATTTCTAGGGATGATACACCTAGGTAGTTTTTTGTGGTCTTAAAAAGTAACAAATCCCTTGGGATCGCTTTCACTGTCTTTAAACCTCATCTTATTCACAGCCAAATCAATTTTGACAGCTACATAATCATTGCCAAATAATTCAAATTTTCTGTCTCTAGACACATCAACGCTGAGCGACATTCAGTAGCAATTGTATCAAGAGGGTGCAAATAAAAATTCAATAAATTCAGAGTTTTACCCCAAGTTGCACTAACTTTGCTTATGGTTAGATGGTTAACTGCAACTCTGTCTGATATTGTGATGGAAATATTTTCAATACTCAATTAACAACACTCATCATAATTATGTAAATGAAAATTCGAATAAATAAAAGCTAGATGATCTACTGCCCTACAATGTAATCAATACAATGTAATCAGTACAATGTAATGCCCAAAAATGTAATCATCAGCTTTTCCAGGTAATATTCCATTTTTTTTCAAAAATGGAATATTACCTGTTAGCACATTTGACAACATACTAAAATTTTTATCCTAATGTTTAAAGAATAACACTTTACAGTTTCAGACATAACAGGAATTATAAAGACATTTTTTTTTAAATTCCTTACTTGAAACAGAAAAATAAAACTACAAAAATTATACAAAAATTTTTAAATACAAATGTCACGATTAAAGACATAAATACCTTACTAGATATGGTAATATTCAAAGATTTTCAAAATCTTTCTGAGATTGTTTTGTTTACAAAAATGAATTTTTTGTTTACAAAAATCAATCTGAG